TCCAATGTATTTTTCTTCTCTTGTTGCTTGTGCTTTTTGTTATGTAAACTGTTAATACAGTCATGAAAATTTACACCTATGTCTTCTTTTCAGACTTTTATAGTTTTAGCATTTTCATTTAGGTTTTAATGAATTTCAGATTAATTTTTGTATATTGTATGAGGTAGGGGTCTACCTTTATTCTTTTGCATGTGGATATTCAGGTGTTCCAGCCACTATATGTTGAAAAGACTATTCTTTCTCCATCAAATGGTCTTGGCACTGTTGTTAAAAATCAATCGACCATAAATGTAAGGGTTTATTTCTGGACTCTCAATGCTATTCCATTGATCTATGCCTGCCCTTATGCCACTAGTGCTTGATTACTATAGCTTCATAGTAAGTTTTTGCAATAGAGAAGTGTGAGTCCTCCAATTTTGTTCTTTTTCAAGCCTATTTAGGGTCTCTTACATTTTCATATGGATTTTAGGATCTGCTTTGTCAATTTCTTTTTTAAAAAAGTCAGTTGGGATTTTGGTAGAGGTTGCATTGAATCTGCAGATCAATTTGTACTGTCATCTTTACAACATTGAGTCTTCCAATCAATGGGCACAGGCTGTCCATCTATTTGTTTGGGTTTTTTAAAATTTCTTTCAGTGATGTTTTATAGTTTTCAGCATACAAATCTTGTACTGCTTTTGTGAAGTTTGTTCCTAAGTATTTTATTATTTTTTATACTATTACAAATGGGATTATTTTACTAATTTCATTTTCAGATTGTTGCTAAGTACATTATGCTAAGTACATATAAACATGATTAATTTTTTTGTATATTAATTTGGTATCCTGAAACCTTGCTGGACTTGTTTATTAGTTCTAATTTTTTATTTTTTTAGTGAATTACCTAGAAATTACTGTATAGAAGATCACATCTATATAGAAAATAGAGATAATTTTACTTCCTCTTTTATGATTGGAATGCCTTTTATTCCTTTTCTTGCCTAACTTTCTTGGCTAAAACCACCAGTGCTATGTTGAACTGAAGTAAAGAAACTATCGTCATTTTGTTCCTAATCTTAGGGGGAAATCATCCAGTCTTTCACTCTAAATATGATGTTAGTAGTGGGATTTTATAACCACTCTTTATCAGGTTGAAGAAGTTCTTTTCTATCCATAGTTTGTTGAGTGTTTTTTTTTATCATAAAAGCCTGTTGGGTTTTGTCAAATATTCCTTCTGCATCCATAACATGGTTTAAATTAATTTGAAATTAATGAAAATCATACTGTAGTCTCTTTGTACAACTTTGTTTGGTGTATAAAAGGCTAACAGTCTCCCTAAGTCTTTCCCAGCTACCCTGAGTTACCCACTATTGTCACATTGTTCTGTTTCCTTTCAGGTATTTTCCTGCCCTGTGTGTATGTGTGTATGTACCTGTTGAAAATATACGGTATTTTTTTTAAGCTTTATTTATTTATTTGAGAAAGAGAACACTCAAGCAAGCAAGTTAGGGGAGGGGCAGAGAGAGAGAGAATCCTTTTATTTTTCTGGGGAGAGAGAATCCTGAAGTAAAATCCCTGCTGAGCGCAGAGCCCGTCTTGGGGCTCAATCCCAGGACCCTGAGATTGACCTGAGCTGAAATCAAGAGTTGGCTGCTTAACTGACTGAGCCACCCAGGTGGCCCTATACAGTACATATTTTATATGCACAGTACAATGGTATTTTTATACCATTGTTTATTAAATGCTATTTCCTCTCCTTGAGATACCATCTTGTTCCCAGGTGATATTCCAGTGTCCCATCTTTCTTATTTTAAGGCTGAGATTAAGTCCCTCCTTTTTTGTGGAAGCTTCTGAGGCATCCTACATATCAGACATCTTTCCTCCTGGCAACAACTTAGGATCTTCCCCCCCACCCCACTTGGTACCCTTTGGTTATATATGTATACAATCCAGGAGATTTTTGGATTTGAACAACCTGAACTCTCACACAGTATACATTTATCCCTACACATCTTTTGTACCATAAGGAACATTTCTAGCTATTGTGTTATGACGGTATTATAACAAGTTAAATTTTGAGCCACTCTGACATTTTTTCCTATGGCAGTGTTTGTTGATGTGATGAGAGCTGAATCCAGCTGTCTTTCAAACTACAGACAGTCCCCAACTTACAATGATTATACTTTATACGAAGGTTTGAAACCTATATGCCCTAAGTAGAAACTGTACTTCAAATTTTGAATTTTGATCATTTCCTGGGTGAGAAAAATGCTGTTCAATACTTTCATGATCCTAGGCAGTGGGAGCAAGCCGCAGCTCCCAGTCAGCCATCTGATCACTAGGATCAATAACCAATACACTGATGACCACCATTCTGTATCCATACAACTATTCCATTTTTCACTTTCAATACAGTATTCGTCAAGTTACATGACCTATTCAACACTTTATTATAAAGTAGGCTTTATAGGGGATGATTTTGCCTATCAACGAATGTAAATGTTTTGAGCACATTTAGAGGGTAAGCTAAGCTATGATGTCCAGTGGGTTAGGTGTAGTAAATGCATTTTCAACTGACAATATTTTAACTTACAATGGAGTTATCAAGGATGTAACCTCATGAAAAGTAGAGAAAGAGCTCTATGTTTTTCATGCTGTGCCAGTAACATAGGCCCCTGTGTATGAAAGTCTTACTGCATGGGAGAATCAGGGACAGAAGACCCCCTTTTACTGTTAACATACTGGTTAAATTCCAGGCTTCTGAGTATGATTTGGTTTGAAGAAAGGACTTTGCTGTTTTAAAGAAATCTTAAAATCCTATTTTATTGCATTTTGCTCTTACTGTTTCATTAAAAGCATCAGAAAATGGGAAAGTAAAACAGCTAATTCCAGTGACACAAAGTATAAGTCTTACAAATGAAATATACTGACAACAAAGGTGGAACTCAGAAAGCATGTGGAAGCCAAGATTCTTTCACCTCGGTTGGGCATCACTGAACTTAAGCTAACCTGCTGATGTTCAATTATGAAGGGAAAAGACCACATATATAAAATATGTATGAAATGCTGAAAACCTAGGTCATCAAAAATCGTATCTAATTTTTATAAGGGGTATAAGAGAGGGTTTTATAACTGGTTTTTAACTCTTTGGGAGTAAACTGTTCCTTATAATGTGCAAGTCTATTATTTAACTTCCACACCTGACTTTCAACCCATGTGTTCAGGAATGTGCCATGTCCAAAAGGAGTAGAATGACTTAACGATATTGCCTGAGATAGTAGTAAGCTCCTTTTAATAGAGGACAGTCCCATTTAATGGTCATTTAACAAATATTTTGATTGTTGATTTATTAATGATATTTTATTAGAATAAATCTAACTTCTTCATGGAGAACCATTTGCTGGTGTGTTCACCTCACCCTACTTCTCTTGTAGTAACTCTGACAAGTGCATCAACATGCATCTTTGGCCTCCATGTAAATCCACTGAGATTTTTCCCTGTGGTGATATTTACCACCCCTGAAATCAAATCTGAACTCATTCCACTGATGTTTAACACCCAGACTTGGGTGGAGATGTGCTTCTACCCAGAATAGGAGCTTCATACTCTGCCAAAAAATTGAAGAGGATGTATACTTTTTAGCACAAGATACATATGCCACTCTCATATGTATTTGGTAAGAATTTTTAAAAAATCTTTTTATTTATATGAGCACAAGCAGGGGGAAGCAGCAGAGGGAGAAGGAGAAGCAGGTTCCCCACTAAGAAGGGAGCCCAATGTGGTCCCCAAACCCCAGGATCATGACCTGAAAGGAAGGCAGACGCTTAACCGACTGAGTCACCCAGGCACCCCATTTTTAAAGATTTTTTTTTTATTGAGATAGAGTGAGCAAGAGCACAGGCACGAGTGGGTGGCAGAGGGAGAGGGACAGGGGGAAAAGAATTTTTCGAAGTACATCCTTCTGAAGGGCCACATGACAATATGGATCAGGAACTTTAGAAATGAACTCATATTTTGACCTAGAAATTCCATTTCTAGAATTCATCCTACATAATCAACCAGACAAATGTGCAGAGATGGCTGCATGGAGATATCTATTATGGCATTTTTTATAATAATGATAAACTGGAAATAACCAATGGCTAAAAAAGGTTTCAAAAGAAAAGATTACTTCTAGCATATGATAAATGTTTATATGTTATTCCATCTTTCAAATTTTTCTTAAAGATTTTATTTATTTATTCATGATAGTCACACACAGAGAGAGAGAGAGAGAGGCAGAGACACAGGCAGAGGGAGAAACAGGCTCCACGCAGGGAGCCCGACGTGGGACTTGATCCCGGGTCTCCAGGATCCGCCCCGGGCCAAAGGCAGGCGCCAAACCACTGCGCCACCCAGGGATCCCTCTTTTAAATTTTTTAAACTTTATTTGTTATTTACTTTTTTCATTTACATTTCAGTGTAGTTAACATAAAGTGTTAATATAAGTTTTAGGTATCCAATATAGCCATTCCACAGTTCATATATGACTTGGGGCTCATCAAGATAAATGTACTCTTACTCCTCTTCACCTGTTTCACCCAGTCCCCCACTCTATCCACTAACATTTTTAAGGTTTGGAAAAATTTCCACCAAAATGCCAACAATGATTATTTTGGGGTAACAGTGACTCAAAAAATTTTATTTGCTCCATCTGAGTTATCTGAATTTCCTATTTTTTTTCTAAAATAAACACAGCTATTGCTCTCTGTATGTATATAATATTATTTTTTAGGTAATAAAGGCCAGTCAACCCAACATTATAAGGCTGGAGGGTACTTTTAATGATAATTGGAAAATAAGTTTTGGTAAAAATTTTGAACCACTCTTTGAGATGTATTTTATATCAATCCTATTTCTGAGGTTTGGACGTTAGCTATAATACCCTCTGTTTCAAATTCATCTAACAGTTTTCCCATGGGCCCTCCACATCATGAAAATTCCCCATCAAGCCAAATGCCATAATTGCACATGACTCTTACCAGATAGGCTCTCCAGAAGGATTGAATGCTCAGCGCTGCCTCTTCTTCTGTCAGCAGGAGGGAGAGTGGGATCGGCGGCCGTGGGCTGAAAAGCAATAAAATGGTCATATGCCCATGAGAATCCATTCTTCAGTCTCGGCAAAGCCCTTTGACAACATAATGGCCTCTCTGATTAAGTGCCTCATCCATTTCCATTCTTAGAAAGCAACAAAGCAACAATGCCATTTTTGATAGAAAAGTTTAGGCTTGAGTTCACATGTTTTATTTTAAAATCAGAGATGGATTCATTTTGTTTTGTTTTTTTAACCAGCATAGTCTAAAATCACTGTTAGCCTGCTCCACTTTGAAAGGCTCAGGCTGCTAAAGCTGCATGTCAGTCCTAAAGATGAGGCACCCATAAGGCTATGTAGACATAAAACAAGAGACAAAGTAGGAATGACTTTTAAATACTGCACTATGACTGAGACATAATAAAGGGATCTTCTCCCACCTTTCTACTGAAGGGAAATTAAGTAGTTCATCTTTTTCCCGCAGGCAAAAATATTGGAATTTATCTCTGATAAATTGTGTGCTCATTCCCATTTAATGTGGCTTAAATTCAAGCATATTTTTAAGTTAAATTCTGCTGCCACAGTTTAATAGGCAATAAAATATCTCAAGTGCTAGGTCAGTTGACACTGTTTGCTCTTATGGGATTTTCCAGATTGTGATGGGATGTTTGATCATAGATACCATATTTAAAAATCATGGCTAAATAAATGCTCTTTTCTTTTTCTCTTCTTATCCCTCTAAAAGTTTCATAGAGATACTAACTCCTGAAAAGATCTTATAAGTATGACTTAATTCTGGTTCCTTATGTTCCTCTAAAGCACAGTTACCTCTGAAAAGCCAAGTTAAGCCTTTTTAGATATAGTACAAAGAAATAAACCTCAGGAAGGATGTGGGTCACTTGGAGACTGCTCCCAGGGAAGGTCCCCAGAAGGACTTTGCAAGTGAAGGGTTCCTAAGTGCCCTGGCCTCAAAGTTCTCCCTAACAACAGCCATCATTTGAGTTTATAGTAACTTCCATTGTGCAGAGATGTTGACTAACCTACCCAAGATCACACAGCTTGTAGGTGCCCTAGCTGGGATCTGAGCCCAGACCCACCAGATCCCAAAGCCTAGGCTTCCATCTCAGTGCTATGCTGACACCAGACCTCCACTGGTTAAACACTCACAGATTCCAAGCCTGGCTCAGACTACAAAGCTAAGTGGCAACATTACATGATTCTCCAGGATGTGTGGTTTTATTTCCCTCTAAATTCTGATTTTTAAAATAACAACTTATCTTTGTTATGGCATTTTTGTTTGAATGAATGAATGTGCTTGTGAGTTATTCCAGAATCAAAAAATCGAAGCCCAGAAGAATCTTGGTATTATTGTGATCATTTCAAGGGAGTGCAGTGTTGTTGCCAGGTTCTGGGTCTCAGGCTGGGCAGGTCCCTTCAAAGAGACCAAGTAAAGAAGATTCTTCTACTTCTTTGGAGAGATACTTACACCCTCAAAATGACAGCATTGTTCAAAATCTTTCACTAATTTTCTGCTTCAGTTTTTATTTGTATGATGTGGTGGCCTTTTAAAATTTTTGTTTGGTTCTCTTTGTTTTCACTTCTTCTTGCCTAATATCTGGGTCTCTGAGCTGCAACGGAGCATTCATATTTTGCTGGAGGCCTGCCACCGGAGGCACTTCAGCTCCTTGCTTTCCACATTAAATGCCTGTACTCATCCATTGTCCTGATTCTTTGAATCTCAGTTGTGTGACACCAAGGAATTACACCCCTGAAGTAATTCTCCCTCACTGGTTAAAGATCAATGGTTTCTACAGAGACCTTGGTGTTTCTAAAGAGATCTTGGTGTGCTGGCAATGGATTTGTGAGACTAACATTATCCTGCATTAATGCTAGCTGATATTTACTAAGAGCCTTCTGGACTCCCCTCCTGTAAGCATTGTTCCTTGTGTTCCAGTCATCCTGGCCCTTTCCAGCTCTTCAAAAGTGCCCTTCCACCTCAGGGCCTTTGCAGAAGGGATTTCCTCTGCCTCCAATATCTTTAGCCCCCCAGCTGGGGGTCCTGTGTACAGCTGTGCAGGTTGCTGCTAAAAGACACCCCCCAGGTAGGCCAGTAGGAAACCCAGTCCATGCTCTTGACGCTAAGCCACTCTCAGGGTATGGGGCGCATCTGCCCCACAGTAGGGGCACCTTTTCCTAACTTACTCCAAACCTTAAGGTTCTAGAGGAGGGAGCTGACCCTTCTTCCTCCAGGCTCACTCTTACTCTTTCTTCCAATTATGGAAAGGTATTCTTTGATTAAGTTAGGACCCAGTGGAGCTCTGTGTAAGTTTCCTTCCTAGTCCTTGGCCCAATTTGGAGATATAAATCTGTGTGGTTATCTAACAAATGCCCCGATCCTCAACTGGACTGAAACCTCAATGAGGGCAGAGACCAGGCCTGTGTTTGCTCCTCTTGGTAGTCTCCACACTTTTTTTTTTTAAAGATTTTATTTATTTATTCATGAAAGACACAGAGATAGACAGGGGCAGAGACATAGGCAGAGGGAGAAGCAGGCTCCATGTAGGGAGCCCGATATGGCACTCGATCCCAGGACTCCAGGATCATGCCCTGGGCCAAAGGCAGGCACTCAACCGCTGAGCCACCCAGGGATCCCAGTCTCCACACTTAGGAATTATTCCAGAATCAAAAAAATCAAAGCCAGGGATCCCTGGGTGGCGCAGCGGTTTGGCGCCTGCCTTTGGCCCAGGGCGCGATCCTGGAGACCCGGGATCGAATCCCACGTCGGGCTCCTGGTGCATGGAGCCTGCTTCTCCCTCTGCCTGTGTCTCTGCCTCTCTCTCTTTCTCACTGTGTGCCATCATAAATAAATAAAAATTTAAAAAAAAAAAGGAGTTCTATTTAAAAAAAAAAAAAAATCAAAGCCAGAGAGGACGTTAGGGGTAGTGACACCATTTCTAGTGGGTACTTGGTGTTTGTGGAATGAGCCTCTCTGCCTGACATAGCTTCCTAAGCACTTTTTTTTTTTTTAAGATTTATTTATTTATGAGAGACACAGAGAGAGAGGCAGAGACACAGGCAGAGGGAGAGGGAAAAGCTGGCTCCATGCAGGGAGTCTGATGCGGGACTCCATCCCAGGACTCCAGAATCATGACCTGGGCCAAAGGCAGGCACTAAACCACTGAGCCACCCAGGGATCCCCATCCTAAGCACTTTCCACACAGTATTTCTTTTTTTTTTTTTTCCTTTTTTAAAGATTTTGTTTATTTATTTATTTATTCATGAGAGACACAGAGAGAGAAGCAGAGACATAGGCAGAGAGAGAAGCAGGGTCCCTGCGGGGAGCCCGATGTGGGACTCAATCCCAGGAGTCCTGGATCAGGACCTGGGCTGAAGGCAGATGCTCAACCCCTGAGCCACCCAGGTGCCCTCCATAAAGTATTTCATTAAATCCTCATAGTATCAGTAATGAGCTCTGGTTATCCTTCTGTTAGAATGAAGAAACTGAGGCAGTTTCTATCACCACGAAATGACTCATTCAAGGTCACTGACCACATTCTGCTGAGAATCTTTTGGCCCAGGAAGCACAGGGAGTGGCCTAAGGAGAAGACAAGGCAGTTCGCAAGGTCACTGATGTGGAATTCGCGGTCTCGCAGCTGTGCGTGTTTAATAGAAGAAAACACAGTCATTTGCTTACAAGAAAAAAAACTAGAAGGGTGGGGGGAGAGCCGTAATCATAGAAAATGCCCTCTTCATTAATTCTTACAGTAAGTAATAATGTGGCAGGTATTCATTTGTCTGACGTTCCACAGGGAAATCTGATGTCAGGACAGCAGAACAAAGTGGAGTTTGTCACTTGTATCTGAGGGAAGATTTGATGATGCCTTTCTGTTCAGCTGCAATTTTCCTGCCTTAAGTATATATATTTTTTCTACGGATGTCATGAAATCCTCAAAGTAACAGTATTCCTGTTTTGGAATAGCAGGAGGAAAGGAGAACTGCAAATCTTGGGACAACTGGCTGGGCCAGCCCAACAAAGGGCTTTCACCAGTAATGAAACCCCGAACCGCTTTGCATCACAATGAATCTCCAAAAAGCAAAATGAGATTTCTAATAGTCCTTTAAGCAGTAATATGAGGCCACCTTTAGTGACATCCCTGCTTTCATGGCTAAATAATGGGGTGCTGTCTAGTTCCCAAACCAAGAATAAGTATAAGAGAGCCAGTGTAAATCAGGCCAAATGAAAAAGACTTAATCTTCTGAGAGTAGTCCCTGGGAATTATCAATCATTTCAGCAGGTCAGCTTGAAGGGACAGAAGCCATGTCAGGTCCTTTTCTTTCTTTTGGAATCAGTGCAACTAGCTTCAGGTCAAATAAAAATAGAGATGGAGAAGAGGCAACCACTTATCATTGGGGAACTAGGGAGGGGGACAATCATTGGGGAACTAGGGAGGGGGATGAGGTGCCATGTCAATCACAGGAGAAGGCAGCAGAGGCACCCTTGTCAAGGGCTTAAATCAGACAGCCTCAGAGCAGGCAGGTTTGCGTGTTTCAAGGGGCAAAACGGTACTGCTGAGTATGTTTCCAAGACGTGTCTTACATGATGCTCATTTGTCATGTCCTTTTCATTTTTCCTTTTTAAGACTTATTTATTTTTTAGAGAGAGAGAGCATGAGCAGGAGGGGCAGAGGGAGAGACAGAGAATATCCAGCAGACTCCTCACTGAGTACAGAGCCCAAATGGGGGGTGTGATTTCACAACCCTGAGATTGTGACCTGAGCAGAAGTCAAGAGTCTGACCCTCAACTGACTGCACCACCCAGGTACCCCCCCTTTTCCTTTTTTTCTTAAATGTAAATCAAATATATTTGAATTGTAAGAATCAATGCTATAATTCTGAGAATTTCTTTTCCTGATTCTGTGTGTATGCATGAATGTACACAATTGTTTCCTTTATTGAGTGCTAGGTAAGAGATTTGTAAGACGTAAAGAAGATACAGCATGCTTTCAAAATACACAAGGGAATCTGAGAAGTTAGT